TCTCTCTCTCTCTCTCTCTCTCTCTCTCTCTCTATCTATCTATCTATCTCACACACACTTCCCCGTGCCGTGTTCCACGTGGCAGCGCCTGCGTAGGTTAACCTCCTGCGCGCTACCGCCGATTGTCGGGCCGAAGCGCCATTGACAACGGTGAACAGTCCGTGAACGAACGCGCCTTCGTTCACAGATGCGTTCACCACCACGAACGGCCGTTCACGGGCACGTTCACGACCTCGAACGGCCGTTCACGGTCTCTCTCTCTCTCTCTCTCTCTCTCTCTCTCTCTCTCTCTCTCTCTCTCTCTCTCTCTCTCTCTCTCTCTGTGCAGAATGGTGGCCGTGGTCGGTGCTTTATTGCACCACCGAAACAACGACCCGGGCCTCATCCCTCTCTCCGTGAAAATGGCCCCGTTTTTTTTTTTTTTTTCCAAAAAAAAAATTAAAAAAATTCCGATCAAAAATAAAAATAAAAAAATATGGGCAGGTGCCCCTTGACAGTCCCCACAGGTCTATAAAAAAACAAAGTACCCCTACCCGCAAAAAAAAAAAAAAATGAAGTTCCCGCTCACCGTGAACTTCGTGAACTACCGGCGTTCACGATTTTCGTGAACGGTGACCACTGACCGGTCTCCGTTCACAACCCCCGTGAACGGTGAACGGGGGTACCGCACTGCTTCAGGTGGCCGGAGATAAGGAAACTGAGGAGCCACAAGCTAAAGACTGACCACAACTTTGCCCACACTATGGTTTGTCTCTGACCATGTCCATGGGACTGTCATTTTTGGGGGACTGGGGCAATGGCTTGGACTGAATGAGGTTGAAAGGCAGCATGACTTGGGGGTTTGCAATAATCTGGTTTGTGCGACGACGGGAAGGGGTGTTTGGGGCATGGTACCATAGTTTTTCACGGAAAAAAAATGGGATCTTCACAAACGACGCTGTTGCATAAGGGAGGGAAATGTATAAAAGGGGCATGCGAAGGATACTGGGAGCATTTTTGGGAAAAGGAAGTTGTCTACCGGACTGGGGGGAATGTGTGTATGCGGGGCATTGCAAGTGTTGTTTTGTTATACAAAACCTAAAAGAAAAACGAGAAAAGACAAAAAAATGGAATTCGACAACGAGAACAACATCGGGGCGATCAACAGACCTACTGGAGGGGAGGAAGCAAGACCAAGCCAAGAGAGGAGGGCGGCGAAGAGAAAGTTGTACATAGGACTCATGGGTGGGCCAGTGGTAGGCAGGGGTGGAAGGAAATGCTTGTGTAGGAAACCCTCACCCCTCCGCGAGGGAGAAGGTATAAAAATCTCGTCTGACAGTGAGGGAGGGTAGGAAAAGGCAGAAGTGGAAGAAGGAGGCAAGGCAGATATGGGAGATAAGGTTCAGGTCTCTGACGAGGAAGGAGCCAACAGGGGCAAACGACGTGAGACTTGGCATGGGGAAAGCGAGGGGGTACAAGACATGCGCAACGAACATGAGGAGAGTGAAGAGAGAAGGGAAAGCCCGCTTGAAGGACGAAGCAGCCACAACAGTTGTAGGGGGTATGAGACGGGGACAAAGATTCCTTTTACCTACGATCCGAAGAACCTTGCAGGTGGGTATAGCCCCATACAGACAGAAGACGAGGAGGACGAGGAGGAGGATGCACGAGAAGTGATAGAAATCAGCAGCGGCGATGAGAGGGATGAGATCTCGAGGCCTAGGGAAGAAGAGCGGTCTCCGATGCACCAACCGGGCGACGGGGCTTTCGGATGGGGGGACGAGTTTGGGCCGACACCCAGTCATTGGTTTCAGCAGTGAACCAATGTGATCAGGCACGAATGGATTATCAAGACTCGGGAACTGGCAAAAGCGGGAGTGGAAGCTACGCCGCTGGACTTCTTCAGTGAAATTGAACTACAGAGGATTGCAAGAAAGAAGAAAGAAATCGAGACCTACGGCCTGGGGGTTATGAAGCCTGCCGAGGAACAGGATGGATAAGAAACTGGGCAAGACGAGGCGCAAGGCAGCAATAGGAACTAGGTGTTGACTTAGCATTGAAAATGATCGCTGCTTTTCTGTCTGCGGAGACATGAGAATGACGAGAACGTGTATAGTATGGGCAAGCTTGCTAAGAATGAAGTGAAAAGAGGGTCAGCTAAGGCTGTGTCACGATAAGATAGAAGATAGTTTCTGAGGCTACTTTTTGGATGAGCCACCTTGGGTACATAAGACAAAGACATGACATTTGGGACGAGACCAATCGGGAGAGGGTGTATTGTGAATTTGGATGGAATGAGGATGGTGCCTTTTGAGGAAAAAGACTTTGAGTGCGGATTGACGAGCAAGCAAGGCATTGAATGTTGGTCGAGTACAAGAGAGGTTAGGGAACCTATGGGTGAAGGGGCGTGAAGAACACTCCTTCCCGAGGAGCCTAATCCAACTGAGTCATGAATGAGTCTGAGAATAGCCGAAATCTGAGTGATCAGAAAGAGTGAAAATGGAAGGGGCGCCCCTGTCTCTTGCTATGGTTGAACGGTCGGGTGAGCTAGTGCTGCTTGGGGTCGCAAGCCCCAACTCGAAGTGCTAGACGCTAAGTCGGATGTATGCATGGATAGTACATTACTGTGCGAAATGGAATGGATAGTACATTACTGTGAGGAATGAAAGAAAGAGAACAGCACGCAAAAGATGAGATGGCCACCTTCTAACCTCCAAGACAGAAATGGGATCCGTAACCTCGAGGCCCACCCCCTCGGGCACTAACATTGAGAATGGAAAGGAATGACCCTAACCAGGCTGTTCGACTTGAGAATGGAAAAGAATGGCCCTAACCAGGCTGTTCGACTTGAGAATGGAAAGGAATGGCCCTAACCAGGCTGTTCGACTTGAGAATGGAAAGGAATGGCCCTAACCAGGCTGTTCGACTTGAGAATGGAGAGGAATGGCCCTAACCAGGCTGTTCGACTTGAGAATGAAAAAGAATGACCCTAACCAGGTTGTTCGGGAATGGCCCCTGACAAGGGTCATTCCTTTTTGAAATAGGCACTAGGGTCCCCTGCATATTTGATTGAGAAAGGTCGATTCAGAATGTACTGGAATGAGCGAAAAAGATGGAAAAGGCCGGTGGGTAGGTCATTGAAATAGCCAATGGTATGAATGGAAGAGATGGAAAAGGCCGGTGGGTCGGTCATTGAAATAGCCAATGGGATGAATGAAAGAGATGGAAAGGGCCGGCAGGTCGGTCATTAAAATAGCCAATGGGATGGACAGAAGAGATGGAAAAGGCCGGTGGGTCGGCCGCTGAAATAGCCAAGGGGGTGGAAGAAAGATGTGAATGAGAAGGACAGGATAAAGAAGGCGGAGCCTTAAAGCCGAGAAGGGCAGGGACCATTGGGACGGTCACAGAGATTGGGTGTTGAGGAATGACAGAATTGAGGATTGAATGGACGGAAGGGTCAGTCTTGAGAAATGGCTATTGAAAAAATGACCGCCAGACCGGCCATGTGAGTGGCCTTGTTGATGAGAGGCTGTCGGACCAGCCATGAGAATCAGCCTTGGAAATAGCATGGGATTAAGTGTTTGAAGATTGAATATTGCATTGCATAGTCAGGGGACCCTAGGCAACTTGATGTAAGGTCGTCGGGCCGACCATGGAAATAGCAAGAGATTGAACTTTCTTTTTTTTCTAGTCTCAGGTCTCAACATAAGGGGGATAGCAATGCCTGCATCGCGACCCCAATACCTCTACCCGTTAAGAGAAAAGTCTCAGCGCGACCTGCTCCTCATTAGAAGGAATAAGGGTTGAAGGACTAAAGCATCTCTCTCTTTGATTGATGCTGGCCGTCCGGAACTAACCCCGACAACGAGCTCTAGTCGGGAAGTTCAAACTGCGCCTCATGTTGAAACCTAAACGTTAAGGGCGTGGTGCCAAACGGGTGAGAGAGTCATTCTTTTTCCTAAGTCTCATTTTTCTCTCCCCAACCACACGTCATGCCGTAGAGGGGCGACACGGCCGTTTGGAATGGACCACGGCTGCTCGCATTAAGTTGAGCAGCATTGTCCAGAGGGAGGAATCGGGCGTGGTAGCGAGTGGAAGCCGCAACCACCACAGGGCGAGTGACACCGCCCTGCCGGATCATTACAACCGTTCCGGGACTAACCGCGAGGTCTTTGTAACTGCACTCGCAGACTAATAGAGAGCCTCAACTCTCTTGAAAGGAAGAGGTCGGATCCAAGAAAACACCGCTCGGGAGG